GATAAGCCTCTCTCAATGTGTGCCCATTGTGTGTTTTCAACGGAGCAAAACATTCCATTCCATTACGAACTCCCCGATTTCGAAGCGATCGTGTATCGAGGCAACAAGCAGCAAGTAGCTATAAAATGGACATAATACACACAGACACGAAACAGAGAGGCAAAACACAAGCGACAAAGACGAGAGAAAGAGAGAAAATGTGAATTGAACGCAACAGCCGCAGGTTACGCATATCTCTTGCTCTCTGCATAACGAAATATTTTTACCGAAACTAATATCCAAATGTGGCCCGGCTGTTTTCACATAGGCCGAGGGCAAATAAATGCCACAGCGCAGCAACGGGAATGTGAGTGCGAGAGCAAGAGAGAGAGAGAGATAGAGCGAATGACAGACAAACAGAGAAAGAAGGAACAGTAAAAAAAAACACACACACACAAAATATACGGCCGATCAAAATCGTTTATTTTTGTTTTTATTTCTGTTTCTAGAGAGTTGAAAAATCTCAACATCTGCTGGAATGTGTGCGCATATTTTTGTGAGAGATTCTCTTTCGGTTGCCTGTGCGATCAGCTCAAGATCTGGCTGAATGTCTCTCGCTCTCTCTCGCTCTCTTTCTCTCTCTCTCTCTCTCTCTCTCTCTCTCTCGAACATTGTGGCCCGTGTGTATGTGAATATGCGTTAGCTTGTGATCTGTCGGCGCGCATGACTTCTGATACGAAAAAAATGTGTGTTTCGGCAGCAGCAGCGGCTTTTATGATCTCGATTTTATAAAACGGATTTTTCTCTCCCTCTCCCTTTCTCGCTCGCTCAACTTCTTACTTCACTGTGTTTGTTTTTTTTTTTTCCGCTGATGTTTATTTGCTTTTTGAGCTGGCTTTTATGTCTCATTAATCATGTCGTTTGTGTGCAGAGAATGACGTACAATTCTTCCTTGTAAATTCAAGGACTGTACTAATAAGCAAATTGCCATTCGCAACTACCCAGCGCACACGTTCGCTCTCGTTCGTTTTCTTGCTCGCTCAAACCAGAATGTGTGTACACCGTACATATGAGCGCCAATCTATCTCTCGTCATTTGCACATGTCAAATCTATGAAGGAAAGGAATTTTCCGAAATAAGAGCAAATCGCTGCGATTAGACATCTCTGCGACGTTTGTGTTTGTAATTTTTTTTTTCCAGTTTCAGATTCAGATTAGCATTCAAATCTAATCAAATTGTTTACAATGGAATTCCCTTGAAGACAGCCACTGGCCTTGAAGACAGCCACTGACCGCATAGAAACACACACACTTTCCCAATCGATCGTGGGCATTGTGCAATCCAACAATGTTTTGAACTCCAAATAACTTTCAACAACATTTTACAACAAAGAAACAAAAAAATCGATAATCGCTTTCGATGCATTTTGCATGCGTAATCAATTTTTGCATTCCGTTGATAAAAATGTCTGTGTGTGATTATTCCATTGATATCCCTAATTGGATTGGGGTTTTGCGCATAAATGTGCGATTACGTCCCCATATATTCAAATGCATCGCACCTCGAATTGAAATATTTTATGCAAAAGTCATCACAAAATTAACAGAAAAAATTCCACAAGCCAGATTCGATGTGTGATGAAATTCAAAACATGCATAAAAATAAAATAAAATGTGACCGCAAACATACGCAGATTATATTGTGTGTTTTGATATAATGCGACTTGATTTTATTTTTCTGTCGTCATATTTCATCTGCCAAAGTGAATATTGTCACGTTTGCCACTCTGTTCATCGTCGGCTTCGCCGAGTTGGAAATCATCGCTTCAGTTGTGTGCTATGCTGCGTTTTGTATTTTTTGTAACTAATTTTTCAATGTCTGCATACCAGAGATTCATTCGCGATAAGTATCATTTCCAAATTAGCCGAATATGCTTGATGCAGCTTAATTCACACGTGAAGTAACAACAACAATCGATGAGGCGGCTGCATATCACCGTGTAGCACTCTCATCTCTTTCTCTCACTCTCTGCTCACAGAAACGTTCGTGTTGTTTGTTGTTCCATGTAAATGTTTCATAGACCAAGAAAAGAAATATTTGATTACTTAATCAATGTGTAAATATGGCAAAAAATAAAATTGTAATGTGAAAATGTACATCTCGACTACTCAGTGTATTATTATAGTACGATGTGTAGATCGCGCATGCGCACGCCTCATCACAACTATACTCACTATGTTGCTGTACTTTACAATTTCAGCTCGGTTAAGTTGAGTTGAGTGTGTGTGCGTTGCCATTTTTTTTTAGGTTGAATGTGTATAAACAATCGCATTCCATTGCTTATCGCGCGGCCTTTTTGTTTTTTCTTGCCTCGCTTTTCTCTCTCCTTCAACCGCATTCTTTTCACACTTTGATTGCGATTACAAATCGCAGAAGCGTATTTTGATGGGCGCTTTTAATGCGTAGTCTATAGTTAGATTCTTTTATTATTTTTTCTTCGTCGTCGTCGTCGTCGTCATCGTCATCTTCTTCTTCACTCTGAAAAATTGATTGGTTGCATTTCGGTCGCTTGACCTACAAAATTCTCTCAACGAAAACCATTTTTCCACTCCGAAAATCCCGTTCATAAATTATTTTCTTATATTTTTTTTTTCGCTGTTGGATGGCCGTCATTGAGCCATCATCTGAGAGCAAACGTCCGAACGAGAGAAAGAGAAAAAAAATGAGCATTCTTGAAATGCCTGACTGTCACTTGCTATAGAGTAGGTGTTGAACATCCGAAAATGTAGTTCTTTTAAACGAAATGCTATCGCAAGACAGGTTCAAAAGCAAACAACCCGAGAGAGAGAGAGAGAGAGAGAGAGAGAGAGAGAGAGAGAGAGAGAGAAAGACATAACGCGAGGGAGAGAGTGCGATAAATCTAATGAGAGCGAAGAGAAATAAACAAAGTTTATTTGAAAACGCACTCCAAAATGTTACAAAAAGAACTGAAGCTGATGTTAATATTTACAGGAACGCTTTGAATGGTTGATTTCTAATTTTTTTCTTCCAAAAACGCTTCGAATAATAATTAATTGCTTATAAGCAATTAAATGTGTATTTTGTCAACATTGGACACTATCACGCACCGGACCGCACTCTAAAATGGGAACCAATTAAATGAAAAGAGAAGACTCCACTAATGAGACCATTAAGTTAATCCATTAGACGGCAGTGGTGCTGCTAGCGAACGAAACTCCTGTTTGCCATTGTTTCTGAAAATCAACAGAAAACCAAAATTCACACAATCCAAAGGCCAATGTCTTGTCGTTCCTTTGTGCGACGGAATACACAACGGAATTCGTGTATGAAATGAAATAGTATAAGAAAGAAAAAACCATTTCGACAAAATATATATTAAAATTCAGACATAAAATGTTTTACGGCCGTTTAAAAAAAATTGATGCGAAATGGGTTCGGTTTCGCATGAAATAGATTCAAATGAAGAAACAGAATAAATGTATAATATATGCGCACCGAATGCTACCATTAAGAATTTCACACAGCCAGCGGGAAAAAAATGCCGAATCAGAGAAAAAGATTCGCATTGGAAGTGTCCGGCAATTATTACAACGAAGAAGAAGAAGCAGCAGATAAAACAAAGAGTTGCAAACACAAATCGGCTTACACACTGTTGTAGAATTTTCGTGGGCGGCAGAGATTGCCAAAGCAATGAACTGGCTGAAAATACAATTGCTTTTGGCGAATTTCTCGGAAAAAATTCTATCGTTATTGCTGTTACTTTACACTTCTTTTTCCATTTCTCTCTCTCACTCTCTCGCTCCTGCTGTCGCTGTATGACAGTGAATCAGAAGCAGCAACAACGTCGACGGTCGTACAATCACATTACAAATAAAACAGCCGCGGCAAAAAAAATTGGAATGACTGAGTGTGCTGTTTCGATTCAAATATGAGAAACAGGAACAGCGGCACAGACATTTGCTCTTCTATCAAACAATAATAATATATATTTTATAAATAAAATGAAATTGATGCCATCAACAAAAAATTCTCTGTGTGTGATGTTATTGCCGCTTCTTTCGTCGGCGAATGGATTTTTCAACGAAATAATTTATGAATTATTTTTGGATGCGCGCGAACGAGACAGCTGTGTTTCTCTTTGTAAAACGATGAAAAGGCACAATTAAATGCAAAAGCAATAAGCGAACATGTAAAAACAATTAGTTTTGTGGAGATAGAGATGGAGAGAAAGAGAGAGAGAGAGATGGTAGTGCATCGACGCAGGTGCAGAGCCCATGAGATTGCATTTTTTGTGCAAGCGACAATATAAAAAAAAAGCGGAGCAACAACAAAAACACATATAGACACACTATTGAAGAAAAAACATGATTCATAAATTTGTTGAAGAAAAAGCGCAGCAGAAAAATCCGATTTGAATATGAGAACAATGTAATATGTGGTAGAAAATATGTATCGAAAACGACAAGCACTTCCGCTGAAAGTTGATGTGGCAGAAAACAAGATTTTTGCATGTTAAATTCCATGAAAATGGCCTGCGAATCGAGATTAGAGCTTAATTTTCACATTGCATACACGAGACTATCTATAACTCAGTGTCGGGTGGTGTTGTTCACCTCAGATCTCATTCTCTTGACTCATTCTCTGCGGTGCTTCTGTTCTCTCTCTTTCTGTCGTAGCTACTCAGTTGCTGTGCGCTGCAATTTGCCACCACATATTTGTTTCTCTCTCTCTCTCTCGCTGCTTCTCTTCTCGATAAACGTGTTATACAGTGATTTGCGTTCCGGTTTCATTTCTCCTTGTCGTTAGACAAATGGCTTTTTCTCTGCATCTGCATCGAGATGGATGCAGGTGAAGGCGAAATGCACAAATTTATGAGCCCTTCCATGTGACAACGAATGAAGAGAGATCTATTGCAAAGCGGAAACATGAATTCATTTCAATATTTACTTTTTCTTAAATGACAATCAAATAATTCTCCTTCTTTTTTGATTTGCTTACAGGTACACAAAACCACAGACGTTTGCCGACTGTGTCGGTGACGAACTGCCGTTGGGATGGGAAGAATCTTATGATCAAATCATCGGACGATATTATATCAATCATTTTGATCGTGAGTGTTTTACTTCCCGACTTTTTGTTCCTATTTGAAGTGTTTTTTCCACCTTTTTTAACCGTTTAAACGAAAATAAATAATAGACTGAATGCTATAAGAAGTTTCTATTCACACATTTCTTTCTTTTTCTCACTCTCTCTCTCTCTCTCTCTCTCTCTCACACACACAAAAAAAAAACAGAATCAACACAATTGGAAGATCCGCGACAGGAATGGAAATCGATTCAGGAACAAATGCTGCGGGAGTATTTATCATCAGCACAGGATCAGCTTGTAGCCAAAAAGGAAATTTATGATGTGAAAAATCAACGGCTTCAACTGGCCGAAGATGAGTACAACATGCTGACGGCAATGGCAGCTAGTCGCAGTAGTTGTAAGTGTGAAAACAACTTTGTTTTCGCTCTCGAATCTCTATTACAATTATTTTCTAATTGTTTTTTCCCGCAGTGTATTCATCGAGCAGTAGTTCAATCAGTATGCGACATGATCCGGAATTGTTGAAGGCTGAATTGGCGATGGCAAGGGAGAGAGTGCGACGACTAAAACGCGAACTGCTTCAAATCAATTCCGACATAACGTACACACAGCGTGGCGTCGACACACTGAACAACGTCGAACAGAAATTGAATGCTCACGAAAATGGTTGCTACAACATTACAGAGGTCCAAGCGATCCGCGAGGAAATGGTGAAAGTGCAAAAGTCATTGGTGTCCGGGGAAAAAGTGAAGGATGAACTGATGCGAAGCTTAGCCCAAATCAAAAATGAGCTGACGCGACAACAATACTGTGATTCAAACAGTGATTATTCGGTGTTTATGCAGAATGATAAAATCTGTGTGGCATCGCAAACGGATCTGTGTGCAGAGAATTTGAACGGTGGAGCTCGATTTGCCGAAATGGCCAAAACCAAATTCCAATACGATGAATGGCGAAAGCATATCAAACAGTTGCAACAGCAATTGGCCGATCATGTGGATAAAATTGAGCCCGGCCAATTGGAATCCGATAAAGATCATTTGTTGTTGATACAAGAGAAGGAACAGTATTTGAAAGAGTTGAGAAGCATTCCATCGGCGACCAAGTCCACCACCGAAATTGTAAAAATACAAGAAGCGTGTCGAAAACTCGAAACCGATTTGAAAAATGCCTACGAATTGTCCAACAAATGCATTGCCGATCGGTTGCGATTGCATGAAGAGAAACAGGTATTGCTGCAACAGCTGCAAGACGCACTGAAATCGACAAAGATGCTCGAAGAACGCTTGAAATCGTTCTCATCGGGTAGCACATTTTCAATTAGCTCTGGCTCAAGTTTGGGTTCACTGTCAACGGCCAGCAGCAAAAATTCACTCAGTCTCAGTTTCACGGATATCTATGGCGATCCGCTGACGACCGATGGCCAAGTTGATATGCTCGATTTGCACCGTCGCACCCAAAGAATATCGCATCCGTCAGAGGTGTCACTGTCACCACGAAGCAGTCTCTCAGTGGAAACACCACCTGCTTCACCGATGAAAGAGAATGTCACCGACGAACCAACTTATGAAAATACAAAATATTTCCCCTTGCCATCAACATCGCAACAAGAGTTGGACTCGACCGTGTTTGATTGCATGCGTTTGGAAGAACGACTGCACGAACTGGAGTGGAAACAATCGATGGGTATGAGCATCGCACCAAATGCAGCACCATTGTCACCGATTTATGAAAAGCCATCTCTTTTGAATTTGCCACAACAAGCGGCCATCAGTAGGGCATCATCGGCATCAAACACACGTTCCGTTTCAGCGGCCGTTAGCAATGAATCAGTTGCTGGCGATTCAGGAGTGTTTGAAGCATCGCGAGCAACGTTACCGGGTCGCGAATCAGCTCAAGTGCAAATCGGTTTGAAATACTCGAAGACCGATAACACAATTCACATCTCGATCGAACGAGCCCGTAATCTGCATGCACTCTGTCTCTCAAATAAGTGTCAAGTGTAAGTGCAATTGATTTTACATTTGACTTCAGAATGTTGAAAATGTTTCAACGCTTCAACCAATTGAACCAAAAACGAAGTAAAATAAACGATTTTAACTTGTTTTTTCTTCTTCTTTGCAGTTATCTCAAAGTCGCGCTGCTACCAAATAGTCAACAATCACTGAGAACGTCACTCGCTAGCGGTGCATTGTTGAAGCCAGTTTTTGGCAACTCGTTCGCCGTGCCGATACCATTGAACAAGCTTTACACGAAAACACTTCAAGTCAATGTGTTCAGTGTTGTCGGTCAACGAGAGGAGATTGTTGTAAGTTGTCAACTTCACTTTTTTTTCACCTTCTCTTTTTCGTTATCTTTAATTAAAATCAAACTTTATTTCGCTCATTGCAGGGTTGTGCGCAAATCAGTTTAGCCGAATTCAATTCCGAAGACTCAACCATGAAATGGTACAACATTTTGAGTTTCAAATCGATGCAAAACTTCGATTCACTAGAGGGTGGTGTCAGCAGTGGTTGTAAGGAAGAATCGTCGGATGAGTCAACGATCATTTCATCGCAAACGTCGACATTGACACGTGATCAAGGTCAAGATGGCATTGCATCGTCTTTGGTTGATGAATTGGGCGAAAAGCTCACACTGAACGACGATGAGGATGAGCAATCAAACTCAGGCGAGAATGAGAACGGTGATGAAGGCAGCAGCACAACTGAAGATCTTGAATCGACCGAACAAATGCTAGCCAACTACATCAAAGAAGTGCAAAATTTCAATGTGCCAACAGCAACGGTTGACAAGGAGACCAATACAGAATGCGCATTTCCACCGGAAAAATCACGTACTCGTGATCGATCATCGCTGCTGTCGAATTCGTCGTCATCAAAAGAACTGGATTCAATTGACGAACGAAGCGTGAAGCGTTCACAAACATTCTCACCAAGTGCGGTTGTTAGTAAATCTCGTTATGTTTGCCGGTTAAACCGAAGCGATTCCGATTCAGCGATGCACTTTGCCACCGGAGGCCATGGTCTGAACTACAATCAATTGTCGGTTCAGAATCCATTCCATCGTGGAGCCGTCGAACGGCGTTCGCTTCGTTTCCACAACAAAGTCCCAAAAAGTGTTTCAACCAGTAAGTTTCCTTTCATTTATTTTTTACTCTTCGATGAATTTTTTGAAATTAAACTCTATTTGGAGCATAGGATAAAGAACCCATGAAAAAGTATATTGGAAGATGATCGAGACTAATTTATGCCATTGTTTTTTCTCCATAGAAATGTTGCCAATACCTCGAACTAGTCTTGATTTGGAGTTAGATTTGCAGGCTCAACACACAAAATTGGAAACGCTCAACGACGAAATCGAGAAATTAAAGAATTTAAAATCGAAATTGGAGCAAGCGGTCGATTCAAAAGATGGTAAAATTGCTGCATGGGCAGTTGAAAATGAAGACTTTCAACGATTGGTTGAGAATATTGAAACAAACAATACACCAGAAGACCGCAAATTGAAGAAACTCTTGCACAAAACATCCAAGGAAATTTACAAACTGCGTAAAACTCGTTTGCCAAAGGGACAACCAGACATTGCATCATTTAAGTGAGTATTTGTTTTGTTTTCGGAATATTTTTTTCTTCTTAAATTGATAGTTCGATTTTGCATTTAATGCTACCATTTCTTGGAAGAGCCTATTTCTTCGGCATTTCTATTTTTATTATTATTTTTTTATTCGATGTCATTTTTATTTGATTAAATTAAATGCTAATCGCACATTATCTAATTACAGAGAAAAAATGGCCTTTTTCACTCGCAAAGGATTGCCTGTACCTGATTTGCCAACCGATTTGGTATTGACCGAAGAGCCGGAAGAATTTTCGATGCCCGCCACACCACCATCGTCGTCAACCAATTCAACGCCCAACGAATCAACACCGAATCCAAGCGATGAATTCGGCACGGGCGATCAAACGAAATCAAACAGTCGTTTTGAATACGTGGTTGATCGTACATACGGTGTTGAAGTTTGATTCCGTTAAAGAAATCGTGATGTACAAAACAAAATGGAAACACACCAAAATGAATTGGGAACCGAGAGTTGTTGGGTTGACAACAATTTCGATCAAGCAGAAGCGCGTGTACAGCCAAAATGAGTTGGCTGATTTCTTTGCATACAAACAAATGGAAATGAATGGGCATATATTTTCCATGTAGCTCAAAATACCCGCCAACAAAATGCATGAAGGTTTTTGTTTGAATAAATCATGAAATATTGAAGGAATCGTGCAATATCAATCAAAATTTTATGATTAGGTTTCTGTTTGTCATTAGAATCACAATTTATTTTAGAGTAAAATTGCCGAACACATTCATAACAAACGAAACAAAAATCACATTCATCGGACAATCAAACAAAAGAAATACCACCATATTAAAGAAATGCATCTTTTAAAAAGTCGCACAATCTGAGAAAAGAACAACGCCATATTAATTGATAAAAAAAAAAGAAATGTTCAACAATCGAACCGAAATGTTTTTTTTTTGTTTTCGATTTTTTTTTTATTTTTAATAATTTATCTTCTTCTTCGTAAGAAAACCAAATATAAATATTATATAAAAATATACTCAATAAAAGATGAGAAATGTTAAAATAGTTTTAAGCTTTGATTTAGGTTTAGTGTGAACATTTTGCTTAAGTAGACTTAGAATTGAATAGCCTGATTGAAGTAGCCATTTAACTTGCAACAATGTTGGAAGACTTATAACTTATGCTCGAACAATGTTTGATGGAAAACAAACCTCCCCCCATATCGAACTAATTATTTTTCGCTATCATGTAAACAAATTTTTTTTAAACAAATGTAAACAAAGTGCCTTTTTGATGGAAAATTATCAACATCGTAGAGAAAAACCTCCCAAGTATTTTAATCATTGGAATATTTTTTTATACAGTTTAACAAATTTTTGAGAGAAAAGAAAGAAAAAAACAAATCATGGAAGCAAAATTCACCGGAATGTTATGTAAATAAAAAAAACATTTTGAATTTTATTAACAAAATTTATTTAACACACGAACAAGCACAAAATCCTATAATATTTTTTGCCTTAGCTATCGTAATTAATTTGTTTTAACTAAATTTAGATCGACCTACGTGTTTGAACAATGAACATTGTAAAAAAAAACGATTTTTTTGTATTAAGTTTGAATGCTGGAATGAATGTTGCGAGAAAGGATAATGCAGTCTATGAATTCAACACAAAATTCGCTGTTGGATAGGTCATGTGTAATTCAAATAAAAAACAAACACAAATACTGATGTTTCAGTGGATCAATATCGACACTATGGTTTCATTTATGATTATTACTCAGATTCACATTCTATCGTTGGAATTATGTTGAAGGTAAGGTTATTTTAGAAATATTTTCTGTCCTTACTCCATAGAAAATTCGCGCTCGAGCACAGTAAGCGTCGACACTAAGAACGGTGTGTCTGACGCTCTGTGTGTACAGTATAAGGCAGAACGACACTACTACATGCGCGCGACGCTTCGTCACACACAGTTCGTTAAAGTGGCCGCGCTCGAAGAGTGTGCAAAGGGGAAATAATACATACATACGGCGCTCTTATATGAGAACGATCTATGTGACGAGGTGTCAGATGAGCGTCGAAGAGTAAAATTCCTATCGAGTTTCCGCATATTTTATTTTCTAATCAATAGATGATCACGTTACGCGTTGAACACAGATTAGAAATATTAACCGTCCGGGGACAAATAATTTTGTTTATTTGTGAAAGTACAAGTAAACCCCGCGTTCCATCTTGTATTAGTTTTACATTGAAGGGCGCTGCACGCACCTTAACATTCATAATACAAACTTAATGCGAGTGGAGGCGCCCTATGAAAAATGGCACAGATTGCTCGTGCTACGGTTAACTCGTACTTTTTTTCATGGCTCACAAATACCGATGCAAATAATTATCCGTATCGGTGAATGTGTTCGATTATAAGGATCACAGCTACGGATAAAAATCTTCATCAGAATTATAACGAACTTTTGTATTATAATCACCTTATAAAGCAAAGCAGAGAAATACTCGATGCGTTTTGTTGACGATTTAAGCAAAGTACTCATAGAATAAGACTAAGGAAGTAAGGAACAACACATGGAATCATATAGTCCCTAGGCGGCTTTTCTGTTTCAGATAATATTTCAAAATTTGAAATTCTGAAGGCACCAAAAAAATCTTGCCTCCAACTAATGGTTTTGAACTACACATGATACACGTTCCGAACAATACCGTCTTTCCACTTCGATCCATCATACATCGACACAAACATATCTCCAATTCCAATTGCATTCATCGGTTCGCCGTTATCAGCCGTTACCAGCCAATACCTCCTGTTTTTTATATGACACCGAATAAGATGCAAGGAATGCGAAAGTGTTTTCTGTTATTTTTGTAAACAAAACGACTGAATCGTAGTCAAAATTATTATCTTGTTGGTTTTTCGCTTTTCTTCTCTTCTGTCTCACTTAAACAGTTCTTCTTTACAAAAATAGAAAATAGGCGTCTGCGCAAACGTCGAAAAAATCACAAGTCACAAGTTATGCGCAATTTTCAAGGCACATCAAAAGCAGTCGCTTGGTGTGAACAATTTTCGTGAAGATCAGTTTAACGCAAAACTAATCACTAATGATATTCTTTGGACAAACGTATTCGTATATACTGATGAATTCTCGTAAAAATGGCTGAAAAATATGTATGTATAAAACCCCGCGTGAATTTTTTCGCTGAGCGTTAGAAATGTTTGAATTCAGAAGTGAATAAAACCGATAATTGTTCATACGAAATTCTAAATTTTGTAACTGTATGTAAATTCAATCACTTGTGATCGATTTATGCAGTCAGTGAAAATATCTTCAAACGGGATGTTTTGTTTTAGTTTAAGTAATTGTTCGTGAGACGTTTGGAGTGATAAGAGTTCGGATTTCCAAACAAATGTAAAATACGAAGTGTGAACAGATGCTCGTATTCATTTGTCTTCCATTCGCAATGTTCATCTGTTAAAATTCGGTTCAATTTTCTACTCCCGTGTAATTATTCTTAGAGATCACTGTTTTCAAGTTTAAATTTATTTGTAAAATGTCTTAATCTATTTTTTTCATTATCAACTTCATTTTTGTATAAGATTCAATCTGCATCTCAGTGACAAAAAAAAAACTGATATTACAGAATGTGTTTTTTTTTTCGTCCAAAATTAGTGTGCAAAGTGTCCATCGCGACGAAAGAAGCATTTTAATGTGTCAGTCAAACAGAATTCTCTTTATAAACAAAAAATAAGAAAAAACACATGTTGTGATTTCAATTTTGATTGTCACTGAGATACAAATAGGCCTTGATTACATTTTTCAAATAAATAAAATCAACTTCCCTTCAAACTATTTATTATCGTTATGTTTGTGTGGTGTCACTGTGTGTTGAATATTCATGATCAATGCAAAGGCCAAAAATCGTGTACGTAAAAGAATAAATTTATCAAAATTTCTACGGCCTTTTGTATTCTGCAACTGTTGTCTTAAAATAGAATTGTTCATTATTTTAGTGCGTCGAAGCAAAAACTTCCTCTTATCAGAAATGATTCCAAATTATTTTGTTGAAGTAATGTTAGTGGATTTGTGTTAACGATTGAAGTGAATATATTTTTAATTCAAAGGACGAATCAGTTTTGGGTCAATCTACGAACATGCAATCAAAGCCACTTTCATCAGAATTCCCGCTTTTAGATGGTTTGGACTTTGAATCAATGGACATGGATCCGGGGTAAGCGTGGCAATGTAGCGTAACACTTTAACTCACATTTAAATCAAAACTAAATCCCTTCACAGAGTCAAAAAAAAAGTCGAAAAAGCTATGATGACGGCGTTATCATGTTATCGCTTTTATTTCGATAATAATAGTAGCTTTTCGGAAGCGCTATAGTTCGCAAATGCTCATTTGACTGCACATAATGAACTGGCTAATGGCTTTTCGCCTGAAAAACACAGTCCTTTCGTTTCCTTTCATTTCAGTCATTCCGATTGATTATGTGCGCAATTTGTTATTGTCAATGTCTTGATTAATACTCTAATAAAAATCAATAAGTTGATGATAATGTGCGGATCAAAACACTCTCCCGAATGAATCTGTTTCATTCCAGAGTTTTTTTTTCTGTTCTGTTTTCAGCAACAGTCGCTAACATTGCATTATAACATTTCCGCTTGCGATAAAAAAAAAAGTCGGTGTAATTTTTTTACTTATGATGTGCCATATTTTGCTGTGCTCTGATTAATTTGCTAATTTTTAACTCACGATTTCCTATTTAAAGAAAACTGTTTATTTATTTACTTTATGTTTTAATTTTCAGGACCGAAAGTTTTGACGCCAGTATGTTTTTTAATCTAAACAGCCCGAATCAAGTTTTCAATGTGGCCGATGACATTACCGGAGGTGTTATTTCAGACATCAGTTTTTCGGGTAAGATAAAATCCCTTCAAGAGGCCTTTTGTGAGCTATTCATCCATTCAACGATTTACTCACGGTTTTTTGCGATGAAATATTTCCATGATCATGGAATCTTCGTATATTGCTACATATCGTATGAAGATAGTCATTTAATATGACCCATAAGAAGCAAGAAAACTTGACAAAAAAAAATCATTTTTATTTTCACTGGAGCTATATCGAGACTTTTTGTTTGTATAATGAAGATTAAAACGTTTTCGTCCTATTAGGTTTCACAAGCACAATAACTTCTTCCGACCTACACACGATACAATCTATTGAAACAGTAGGTCCATTCATGAATATCCTGCCCCCAATTGGGCAGCCGATGTTTCAACAACCGGTGGAATATGACACTTCGGTAAGCAATTTTTTTTTTTCATTTGTACTATCATGGTTAAACATTAGTTTATTTATTTGACTCTTCTTGGTAAACAACAGGTTGGTAACACCTTCACAACGACCGAAGAGCTCGTAAATTCCATAGATAATATTTTAGAAAACGATTATCAGTCGGTTAAAGCGCGCGTCAATTTACTGGAAAATCTTGCAACAACTGCATTAGACGGTGATCTTATCCAATATCTCAAGGGTGGTAAGCAACGTAAATTGATGAAGTATATTGAAGCCATCCAACAAAAATCATATGAAGAACAAAAGGCAATCGCATCATTTGTAAGTATAATGTTCCAAAGCTAATAATAGGCATACGATTTTGACAAATATTTTCATTCTCTTTCTTTCGATAGGTTTTTAATTTATCTCAAATTATCTCCGATATAGAATCGCGTCTGTGGCTATTTTGCCACATTCGTGAAGTGATCATTGTTGCTAAATTTTGCATGGTACAGCAGTGTGTCTGGCTCAAAGGTTTTGGTACTTCGATTGTCCATAATTTAGCATCAAAAGTTGGCAATGATGTAAGTAACCAGAGAAAGAGCACTGGGCCAATTTGTTCACTTTTAATTCCGATAACACCGATAAATAAATTGAACGCAAATCTTGTCGTTTCAGCTGATTCCGGATATTTCCTTTGACCTAACTTCGACATTGATCACATTCGTATCGCAAGAACCTATCGAGGAACACCTATTTACAGCTCTCTCAGCCATCTGCAGCCTTTTAACGGTAAAACGATAGGTTCTCATTTCATTCGTTTATTTTGTGTTTTATTTTTCAATTTTCACATCGTTATTCACAGGTTTCGGATGTTAATATTAGGATAAAGCAAAGTGTAGGTTATTTATCTCGTAGAGGAATTAGCATGCGTTGTGATGAACTCATCGATCAAATCAATCAAACCACTGGGAATTTTCGTTAATATACACTGTGAGCAACGATGTACTGTTGAAAGCTTTTAGAAATGATCATAATGATTAAAGACCAAAAGTTGATGAGCAACTAGATTAAGCGTTAGAGAAATATTTTTTATTAAGTTAAGTTTAAAATACTGTCAATTTTTTTTTTCGTTTCAAATTTGATATCTATGTAAATATTGTTTCAATTTATTATGAATTTTTATATGGAAATGTATATACACAAAATATATATTTTTGCACGTTTTTTTTATCAATCAATGAAAAAAAATTTAAATCAGAAGAAAAATGAGAAATACACGCAATAAATGTATTTTTAAGTTGATTTCAATGACATTAAATGGATTTCGAATCAAAACAGATTCATTGAACAATAAAATATGTGCTTTTGAAGAAAAAAAAAAACGTTTAAATTTGAGCAAAGGAAATTGTCACATTCACGCTTAGATGGCGCTATGGGAGTATGACATTTGCCACTGTAATATTATTGATTTGAACTGCTGTTGTACACTGTAAAAATGATGGGCAAATATTTGACGTTAATTCGATTGACTGGAATGTGTTGACATATTTTGATAATCACGACAACCACTTTTCTATAGGTCTGGTTAGTGATGTTTACGACATTCAATATTTGTTGAGTCATTTGTGATAGTTCGTCAATAAAAATTGACCAATTGCTCGATTTAAATGTAAGTGAAAAATGAATAACGTCAGAATCGTTAAATTAGAAGCATGATTCATTTAACTATTTGGCTAAGGCGGATTAAGTAGTCGGTTACGTGTTTTGTGAAATCATTTTTCATTCAGTGCAATGAGTAAAATTAGCCCTTCGAAATAACTGAATAAATGACCACAAAAATGGTTGAAAAAAATTCCCTGGCCAACGATTCATTATTTTTGCAAGCCATTCCAACGACAGTAAATGTCATCGTTGTTCGATTATGTGAAACGAACATCAAAAGTTCAGGCCATTTAAATTTAGACGCAATATGAAAGTTTAATGGAAGTGTGAAATTATGCAAAATCATTATAAATGCATTTATTAAATCAACGGTTCATATTGTGAGCCCATCTGAGACATAAAATTGTACAGTCTGGTCGGGATTTGTGTGTGAATGTGTATTTGTATTTGTATGCGATTACCAAACGTAGGTTGATAACCGGTTTCAATAGAATGTTGACATACAGAGAGAGAGGGAGAGAGAGACAGAGACAGAGACAGAGAAAGAAGAAACTAGAACATTTCCTGGTTCTAAACTTAATGATAATTTCATTGTTGCGATCAGCGAAATTGGTTTTCTTCGTTTTTTGGATTTGAATATTATTTATTTGCGCAAACGACGAATCGTCACATTTTTCTTCGTTATCGAAATCTGACGTCGTTACGCGAGAATGACAAGCGCGTTTCAGGAGCTATTTTCGTTTTGTCATATATGTGTATGCGAGAGAGATGCGTTACGTTAAGGACTCGCAAACTCCGGTCGTCATACACTGATTCTTTCTTGGCTGCTGGCCATTTAACACACAACGATTGCGAATTTTCGGAAAAAATTTCAACCGAAAGCAAAAAAAGACACAACAAACAAACCGTTAACGTTGATCGCAAATGCGCACGCTGCGCAATTTTACCTTTCGACTATGTGTACGACCGTTGAGATTGTTGCGTTCAGCAAACATCATTTGATCGCGGATTCATTTGGATCGTAACGTATTCGATTGGAGTAGAAATTAAACGGATTTTTTTTTGTCGCGCATAATCAGTATTCCATTGGGAAAAGTGTATTGAATTTCATTCGACACTTCCATTCAACCGATCATTGACTCATTGTGGATCATTGCATTCAAAGTGAAAACGGAAGAAGAATTCCTCTACAACCTTGACTCAGACAAAAAAAAAGAACGAATCGATTGAAGGATGCAATGATCGTCTGTGATGAAATTGTCAATTGCCTATAAAATTGTATAATTTCAACAAATTTTGTGAGTTTTCAATTGAAGAAGTTTGTTTGCTCACAGAAAAGTTGAATTTTGCTGAAAGAAAAAAGTCAAATTTCATTCGAGGAAGTGGTTGCAAGGGTAATTTCACGGCTGGTGAGTTTATCGTTTGAGGATTTGATTTGAATCGGCCATCAAAACGGAAAATTTGTTAATTCAATGAAAATGAAAATGTGACGTAAACTAAAATGAATGGTGCTATAATGAGTATTTTGCGGAGAATTTATTCATCGCATTTCGGTACATAATTTGCGTTTAATAATAATCTCGGCAGTTACAATATTTTTCGGTCAGATGTGCGACGTTCGTGCCAAAAGTGCCACCCACACGCGTGTTTCCCATATTTAAGCGAAATATGACTCTGATTCGCTTGTTGTGCAAACGGAATAATCGCATCGAATCGTATAAACAACACCAAAGGGTCACCATCCGTTTTATATCTAGGTGTTTATTGTTTCACTCTTGTAGTCATTCGGACAATTTGTGATCTTGTTGATTTTTGTGGGTTTGGTTAAGGTGCGTGTGGAGCCATTATCTTCTTCGAATTCCTTGTAATTTATGAAGATTTGGGCTAAGGCGACGTCGTCACACTACCAAATCTGTCTCGACTCCACGAAACTCAAAAAATTATAGACGACAACGACTACGACGACGACGATGAAAAAAAAATTGCTACAATTATAGACTGAAAATATTGAGCGACGCATTTTGGCCCGACGACTGCGATGAAATATTCATATTTTGTTGTGACACACGAGCCGCAAAGACAAAGGAAGCTTTTGTTGTTTTTACAAAGCAGCAATAAAAAAACAAAACAAAATTTAAATGTTGAAAGACCATATATTCTTAATGGGCTTCCATTATTGCAACGTTTAAAAATTCCGCCAGTAAATTGAATTGCTAATGCAACGTGGTACAAAGTGCTGGGAATAATATCGTCGATTTGAGCGGCCCATTCGTAACGCTTGTGCATTTTGGCAATGCACGCATCGCAGAAACCACGTCAATTTCAGCTGTCGGAGAACTTTGCTCGAAAAACGCCGCCGTTTGAAACATTGTTCAGATTGGCATCATTCCTAGTTGTTCAACTGAAACTAAAGTCAAAATCAATTGTGTTTCCTTTTCAATTCTAGCGTAAAAAAGACATCAAAAAGACAGCAAAATGGATGACAATACAACCGTACAACTGTACATTTACGATTTGACCAGTGGCATGGCGGCAATGATGAGCCAAATGTTGCTTGGCAGACACATCGAAGGAGTATGGCATACGGCCATCGTTGTTTATGAGCGTGAATTTTTCTACGGCGGATCAGGCATTCAAAGTTGCATGCCGGTGAGTACAAGGAAAAACATTATCATTTCTCGTTGTATAAATTTAGAATTGTTTCGTTGAATTTGTGCGAAAGTAAAATGCTGTCTGTCTCCTCACCAACTCTCCTATTCACTTTGAATTTGACAACTGATATTGAGCGCAAACACCACCTAGATAATCTAAGGCTAATGACAATACAATCAAGTAAACTCTCCGTTCTATCAAACGTCATACTGAAGTATAACATACAGACATCACGAACTCGCGATCGGTTCTTTAGATGGCGCTTCGGTCAACCGAGTTCCAACCAAATACATGTATCAGTATACGAAGCATTCCACTCTTGCTCCTCACTCTCGTGACATATATGCGGCAGTATCATCTTTCTCTCCGTGGAATGATTGATTCGGTAATGCATCGTGAAACTAAATGATGTGAAAACTTGAAAAGAGTGTGTGACAAATTTTTCTATAGGAAGAAAACCATACGGTCTCGGTAAAAGTGCTGTCGTACGTATATGTAAAGCAGAATTCGTTCTGATACCGAAAATAACCTCTCTCGCTCCTAAAACCGAGACTACGCACACATACACACAAACCAGAACAAAGCGCAATTTCTCGGCTACAATTCGGCACATTTAATTCGTAGGTTGCGTTAACGCTTGCGCTTTGGCGCCCATTTTCCGTGATCATTTCAACAAAACCGTTATTTTTTTTCCATCGATTTTATTTGCCGCATTTGCGTTTGTACAACATAACCGAAACAGTCTGTCTTGATTGAGGTGAATTTACCGGAGATTCGCTTGATTTCAGTTATTTTGGAAATTTGTGTGTAAAATGTCATTAAGTGAAAAAATGAAGTTGCCAAAACCATAGTTAATAAAGTGAATTTTTCTTCTATTTTCTCTCTGGTGTTACAGGGTGGAACCGTTTTGGGACAACCAACAAAAGTCGAAAAAATTGGTGAAACATTTATACCATATCAAGTGTTTAAGGATTACTTACGCGGTTTAGCAGAAAGTTCATTTCGGTAAGTGTGTAATTGATGGATTTGCAACAGATTGTCGAAATGGAGAAAAATTATCATCCACTTGAATTCAGTTCCAATTTTCATTCGGCGCCGTGAGATAGCGAGAATGGGTGTGTGGAAAAATTCGATAGGATCAATTTTTGGCCGCCGCAGCAGCAGCAGCGGCAGCATATGCATCGTATGTGTGCTGGGGAGCGGCATATAAGTGAGAAAGCGACAAAGAATTTCGTTTGCATTTGATTCTATTTATAAAAATAACATGTTTATTTCGGAGCGATGCTCAGCCGCTGATTTTCCTCACCGTACGAACTGCGCATAATCTTACGAATCGGTTGCTTGTGTGTGTGAATTTGGTTTTTTAGAGTTGTCGTATTTTCACTTGCGCTTGATTTTTGCCATTCGATTAGACACGTATTTGTCACCTATTTTATTTGTGACTTGTTTGCTGAGTGAATGAGTCAGGGAAATTCAGTTGCCCGCCGCAATCGCGCGAGCGCATCAAAGTGATAAATGAAATGAAAGAATTTTATTAATGCTTTCTCTTGTTTTGCTACATTATTTCAGAGGAGCCAATTATAACTTATTGAAGCACAACTGTAATATATTTTCACAAGAACTGTGCCAGTTTCTGTGTGGTACCAGCATACCCAAGTATATTTTGGACTTGCCCAGCAACATACTATCCACACCGCTCGGACAAAGTTTGGCTCCATTGATCGGTGAGTGTCACTCTGTTGCTCATATAACAGATATCATCATCAGTGCTAATAACAAATGGGCCAAAGTTATAATTAACTACAAATTTTCGCTCTCTACCTCTCTCTTTCAATAGAATCCATCGCAAATTCAGCTAGCGAAGGTGGTGGAGGTTTTTCATACGAACCACAGATTGGTGCACGTGAACAGAGTCCCGGTTTTGACGAGCTAAACAGTGAAATTGAACAGGCTCGATTGCAATCAATTGCATTGGAACGCAGCCGAACGGCAATCAAAGAGAAAATCGCCAAGAAGGAAAAGAAGAAGGAAAAAAAGAAAAAGAAGAAGCATTTGTCAACGTCAGACAGTGAATCAGCATTAAATATGTCAGAAATTGAGGCAAGCGAAACAGCAAACGGCGGTGCCGTTGCTAGCAATGATATTCCAGAAGAAATGCAACCATCAGAAAGCCGATTGAGACAAGACTCTCAAGAATCGAACGAAGAAAGTGAACGTAGTAGAAAACCGCGCGAGCCAGCCATTGTTTTTAAGGATATTGAGGTAAACAACAGATGATTCATCAAATATTTGTTCTTTGATTCACCTTTTTCAACCCATCAGAACTGTTTTTCACTTTGTTCATTTTGAATCACAGGCAGCTGTTGAATTGGAGAATCTTGTTCGATTGGTGGATGGAAAATTGTCAAAAGACGATGAAACTGCAGTTGAGGAGTTACATCAATATTTGATTGAAGGCGAGGGTAGCTGGGCATTGGGAGAGGGATTTTTGCTGTTTGTCGGCCGTATTTTGGAAGACAAAGGTCTTCCAGTTGAAGCCCGCGTTCACTTGTTGCGTACTCTGGCCGCGGCTGCTTTGAACGATGACATCATTCTATTGCTGCATCAAGATCGTCGTGAACACATTTTGATGAATTTTGCCCAAGACATCGATCGCAAATCACCTGAGGAGCAAGAAGCACTTGCGCTATTTGTAAGCTACGATTCTAGAGAGAAATAATTGTTCATTTCAACCAATGCGCAATTAATGAAGGAAATGTGTTTTTGTTTTTCAACAGATTTGCAACTTATTTGAGAACGTCAGCTCATCGGAGTGGCTCTTGTACATTTCTGAATGGAACTACAACAACGTTCAAACGTCAAATATTCGTGCCAGCACCAAAGTGGCCGTCCACTGTTTGCTCGCCTCATCCGCTACATTGAAAGACATCGGAACGGCCATTGTTTACAATTTGGCCTGCAAGGAGGTAAAAACTGTGGTCTGTATCGCTTCTTTTTAACTTTATTTCATTGCATAAATGTTTTACTCAATTCATCGACACATTTGCACTTACACAAACTCACACAAATCGGCTAAATCATTCATTGCTTCATTTGTGAACAATACAAAAACACACAAGAACAAATGAAAGTTTTTTTTTTAAATGTCAAAACTTCAATGGAAATCTCTCCACCATCTTTTCAGGTGTTTGATGACATTGCCGTTGAATTGACCATGGCTTTGCTACAATTCTTCAGTGAAAAACCATCGGAGGAGCATTTGTTCAGAACTCTTAAGGCGCTCTCGAAATTTGTTACGGTAATTAATTGGTTTGCATTTGAAAGTTTGTTCTACTTACCGCAATTTTCTTTTCTATTCTTTTGAAGAAAAGTTTTTATTGAATTTTCAATATAAATGAATAATTGTTTCTGTTTAATAGGTTTCGGCTGATATCCCTCAATTAGTACAAATGATTGGACCACATCCAAAATCATTCAAAGGCAACAGCAACCGATGTGACGAGCTCATCGATCAAATCTCACAGAAAGTTCGCTAAATTCACTATATATTCAAATCGGTGTGTCAAGTCGGAAAAATAAAATCTAAGCAAAAATAATTAAATGGAAAGAAGAATTTTGTGCATTTCAAAAAAAAAAAAAAATGATTAAATTATCAATTGTGTTGACATTTTTATTTCGAATTGACAAAAAAAAAGTCTAAATAATAGTATTTGTTTACGATCAATTATTGTATACTCTTCAAATAATATATCACCAAATTGAATTAAATGAGAAAAAAACAAATTGTCTTTAGCATAGAAAAAGTCAAACTGAGAAATAAATGCAAATATTTTGCAAGTAATTGTGCGTTTAAATTTTAGAACAGTTAGGATCATATGGTTGTCACCAATCCAATATATAATCCCATATAGCGCTGTAAATTGCAGCCAGCGATTTCAATCAAACAAATATGTAATCGATTAATATCAATTGTCACTGATACTGGTTGAACTCGTTTCATCGTTGACCTAACAATATGAACAAATGTCGCATCAAAAATGGAAGAGTGACTGTCGTAAATTCTGATATATTGATAAGGATTTTGGCTTGAATAATTACGAAATTAACATTGTATATGTTTCAGCTATGTAAAAAGACTCATTACAAATTCCCTTATCTCAATCATTTATACTTTTGTTGAATTTTTTTCGGCTGCGGGTGATATAGTAAAAATGGAATTATGAACTTCAATGGAAATCAAGAACAAGAAATGACTAAGATGTGATAAAAGTAGGATGAATGGCGGAGCAATTTTCTGAATAAAATTGCATTAATCCATGTCAGACATTGCGTATGGCTTACAGGGGTTTTCAAAAGGCTTGTGCAAAACTGTACAAATACTAATGGTCTGAAGGTGCATGAATTCACATGAGAATACACTTGAGCCATTGTAGTGTGGTGTATTTGTTGGAACAATTTCTACTGCACGTTGTTTTATTGAGCCATAACTCAAAAACATCGTGAATCGTAAACATACGAACAGCGAGCATAGCAATGCTACGTCGTAGCATAGATGGTGTTTCATTTGATTTTCGAAAAAAAAAAAAACATAAAACCGCTATGTTATTTCTAGACACGAACGCTATATTTCGATGTTCCCTGTAAATGTACACGTTTAAAGTATGGCAATAAGCTATCTTCAAAGTTCCATTAACGCTCAACATGAGTATGCCAAAGAGCTCACGCTCCATAAAGTTGTATGATCACCTTGTATGCATTCTGATTGTTTGGTATCGGTTTTATGTTATCAGTGAGTGTGTGTTTTTTTCTCATAATTCTTTGCGTCTGATGCTTTTTTTTCGTATTAATGATATGAATAGACTTTGCCATCACCATCCGCCCTACCTAATATCCACATAACGAGAAAACTGTTTAATTGCACACATCATACAGTGGTCTCTTTGTGAAAAGCTAATTGAAAACAGTTACATTCCATCTGTTGTTTGCAGACGTTGCTCAGCTGAACACAGCATCATTTCCAATACGGTCGGTTTGGTCCATTGTGTATGTGTATGTGTCAATTGTTGGCTAAATTATTGTTTGATTTGCAAATCTATTAAAAAATCCTGTGTATTTCGTTTGTGATTTATGTGTTTTCACTTGCATTTCGCCTAAAATCATATTAATTGGTTTTAGTTTTTAATAGAAAAAAAATTAATTTGTGCTGCATTTGCCTCTGGCATATTATGCAATTTGTGTCTGGAACTGATCTCAAATCAATTACATAATCCTGTATATCGGTGGCAACGGTGAAGAGAAAAAAAAATGCAATTCAAGTGAAACATACATACAGTGTTTTGAGTTCGATAAGCTGCAGATCACAACAGTGTCGAAATCGATTGACTAGATTGATACACGGAAATTGATTTGATTCTACACATATAACACGTACGAGACATATTCACTTCCTGGATTGGTACACATATTTTCAGTTGCATTGAGCCGTACATCACTTTTCTGCATCTCGTTGCGATTCGAACGCCGTGCGCGCGCTCACACGTTCACGCTCACGCATACACGTCTTGCGACAATATGTAAGTGCATAGAAAAAGAGAATCGATGCTTGGCTCTAGCTCACTTATGCATGAAATTGTGTTTGTTGTGTATAAGACAAAGAGCGAGAAAAAAGAAAATGTTGGAATAGAAAAAAAAACTTTCACATGATTGAGTATCTCCCGACATGGAGCGCTCACGCTCGAACGATAGAAAAAAAATTTGCGCGCGTGCGCTTGTGCGGATTGGTTTGGTTTTGGTTCGCACACGAAAAAAAAGTTGTTTGCATCGAAAGTGGTACGATTTAAGAAATAGAGTAATGTTCGTGTTCGGTAGCTAGGCACATACAGAAGATAGGCGAAGAGATGGTAATGGTTTTGTGTTGCATTATGCATGCATTGGCGCATTTTATATGCTTGTGTGCCGCTGAGTCGGTGTGTTACGTGCAACATAAAAATGGGCTTACTAATGCAATTGCAATAAATCCCAAGCACAATTGGACTTTCATTCAGCGAACACGGCACATATATGTACACACATACTGTTTTTTTTCTCACGCAAACGCGTTTAGAAAATACAATGAACATGTGCAAATGATACCAGTACCATCGTGCAATAGCGATAGTCTATGTCTTATTTTTCTTTGTTTTTCTCTCTCTTATGCTTTGTTGCTTTCATTCACAGAACCCAGCATTAAAAAGGGAAGAAAAAAAACATCAATTGCGTTGTACTTCGAACTCCCCGAGATAAAGAGAAGAAAAACCGGTCAGAATGCGTGTGCGCGATGAACAAAGTCTCGAAACAACATCCAAAGTGATCAATGCGGAATTTCAGAAGGCACGCTGGTGTCTTCGTCCCGACACCAACAACAATGACACCAATAATAATGAATTACTCACTGGCGATGACTTATCCATTGATCGATCATCCATCAAATCGTTTTATCGCAATGCCTGCATTCTGGTCACTGGTGGCACCGGTTTCGTTGGCAAAGTCTTACTCGAAAAATTGCTGAGAACGTGCGACTCGTTGCAATGCATTTACGTGCTGCTGCGCTCAAAACGTGAACTAAGTAGTGAAGAAAGATACCATGAACTCATTCGGAATCCGGTAAATGGCAATTGGAATTGTTTTTTTTTTCGATTTTACAATTGACACCCAGCAAACCACTTACTTTTTCTTTTCAATGGAAAAATACTGAACGAAAAGAAACGGCCGTAGACCGATTCACTTTTTCTTTTTCGTTGAAAATTTCCAGAAGAAAAACTTAACGGTTGATTTCTTTACTTAGGTGTCGATTTAAGTTGGCTAATTATACCCAAATAGAAATTAGAATAAGAAATTTTTTCGTGTAATGCTTTTATCCTTCATTAGGTATTTGATCGAATTCGTGAATCGTATCCGGAGCGGCTGCAAAAAATCATATTCATTGCCGGTGACATTTCGAAAGCAAATATCGGCGTTTCCAATGCCGATCTGCAAATGCTCAAGGAGAATGTGAACATTGTTTTCCATTCGGCGGCAACCGTGCGATTCGATCAGAGCATAAAGGAAGCGGTCAATTTGAATACGCTTGGCAGTATGCGACTTTGGGATTTATGTGCTCAAATGCAAAAACTACGTAGCATCATACACGTATCGACTGCGTACACCAATCCAACATGTTCGAATGTAGGTGAACAAGTATACCCGCCAAAAGTGGCTATGGATTTGAATACGTTCATTAAATGCGCCGATGCATTGCCAGAAGATTTGGTTGTTAAAATTGCCACTCATTTACAAGTAAGCATTTGTGTCCATTGATTCTTTATCAAAACGAAACATTCGAACAAGTAAATATGTCAGTTAAGACAATAATTGATTCGTACGAAAATTCCATTTGTGTAAAAAAAATTGAGAACTCGATAAAGATTCTCTTCATTAATTTAAATATTTTGATTGAGTTAATCACAAGTTGATTACACAATCACTGTTGTCGAGATTAAAATAATCGTGCTTTATTAAAATAATCACATATTAATTTCGAAATATTCATTCATGTTTTCTTCTCTTTCAGGGGAGTCATCCGAATACATACACAATCACAAAATCGATGGCTGAACAAATGGCAACGGAATATCACCACAAATTACCCATAACAATCGTACGGCCATCGATAGTAACCTGTTCATTAGCGGAGCCATATCCTGGATGGGTTGATAATGTGAACGGAATAACTGGCATCATTATGGAAATTGGACGTGGAACGCTGAGCAGCATCATGTGCGACAATCGACTGGTGCTCGATGTCATTCCCGTCGACATCGCGTGCAATATGATTATAACAGCCGCTTGGCTAAGCTACTTTAAGCCGTAATTTTCTCTAATTTCCTCTAATTTCTTTACCTGTTTGCAACAGCAATGCAGGAAAAAGCTAATTTTTTTTCTTATAAACGGTTTCGTTTGCATTTTCAGAAGCCCAAACATTCGTGTGTACAACTGTATATCGGGTCAGTTGAACCGATTGGATTGGGAGACGTGTCGTCGAAAAGTGTTAAAATATTCACGTATTTATCCTAGCAAATATGTAATGATGTATCCGAATTTTTCATATCGAACCAATCGATTCGTACACCTTTTCTATGAGATTTTTTTGCACTTTTTGCCGGCCTATTTGTACGATTTCATACTTCGGTACAAGGGAATGAAACCGATCATGTTCAAAATTGCCAGACGATACAAAACGGCTGCGGATACTGGGGAATTTTTTGCAATGCATGAATATAATTTCGCCGTGGAAAATGTAAAAGATTTATTGCATGAGATTTCGAATGCGGACGATGGAGATGAATTTAAGTGTGATGTCAAGCAGCTGGATTGGGATGAATATTTGAAGAGCTATGTGTGTGGTATTCGAAAATACATTCTCAAAGATGATGATTCCACCTTGGAACGATCACGTCGCACCCTTAAAAGGTACACACAATTAAAGACAAACCATCAATTTTAACTAATTGCTTGTTGTATTTTTAGGTTTTTCGTTAATATTCATTTCAATTTTACATTCACAGATTGTACGCGCTCAAGCTTATCCTACAAACCTTATTTTTCGGCACAATTGGATTTATCATTTACAAAATACTTTTCTAAAAGCACTAAAAAAAATACTCTCAGCATTCTCTTATTCAAAAATGTCTTCTAAACGCGAATAGAATTAAATTACCTTAAAACTGGCTTAACAATTTTTATCTCAACTTTTTTCTTTCTCTCTTCTCTCACTTTCGATAATTTAAAAAAAAAATTATCCAGTTAAAATATAAAAAAAAACACACATTAAATATAACGGTATTAAAATGAAAAAGCCAATGAATTTGTTTTACTGCTGGTGCGTGTGATTGTGTTCTCAAATCTAGTCTCAAATTCATTCCATTCCAGTTTAAAGTACAAGTCAATCGTGGAGTCTTTTCTCATTATTCACATGTGTGGAAATCAATGGATCCACTTTGTAGCCCAAATCGATGGAAGCTCGAATGTGCTGCATCAAATTGATTGATCCATTTCGGATGCCCTCTTGGGTGAGCAACTCGCGCAGAGTTTCTTCACGATTACAGAACAACACATGATTCGATGAAATGAAGTGATGAAGATTCATATCCAAATTTTGCAAAATTAACACCTGCTTCTTCCGGTGCAAATCGTCGGCAAGACCAATGATGCCCTGTAACGAAGTAACGAAGGAAACGGTTAGATTTTTGTCGATTTTATGTTTAAAATTTTTGTTGGTGAATTCTTTAGAAATAATTCTAAGCAAAAAGAAACAATTGGAACGTTTTTAAAGAAACTGAGAAGAAGGAAATATTTTATCCTCACCTGGGCCGATGTGTAATCCAATCCATTGAATTTCGTACAATCGACAACGGCTGGTACTTTATATTCAGCAGCTGAAGCAGCTTTGTTAACGGTTTCTCGCAAATGATCGATGCCCGGGAAGAACATTCCAACATTTGGCACAATGCGAATGTATTGCATGTTATCCAATTCGTCAATTTTAACGACGGTTTCAGGTCGAGCCCACATGAACAGCAAGTGCAATATATTCAAAACGACACCGCACAACAAACCAATCTCAACACCCGTACTCAAACAGGCAATCAAACAGGCAAGCCAAGCAATGAAATCACGTCGATTTTTTCGCCACAATTGAACGGGCAACTTAAAGTCTATCTGTAATGGGAGAATGGATTCATTGGAATAACCGATTAAAAAAACAAAATTCTTCACACCGAAAGAAAAAAAACGAATTTCAAATTATTAATCACCGTACCATAAACATAACAGCTATCACAAGAACTGAGGCCAATGTTGCTTTTGGAATGAAGTAGAAGTATGGTGTAAGTAAACTTAACGATAAAACAGTCATAATACTTGAATAAAGACCAGCCATTGGAGTCTAGAATGAGAATTACAAAAAAAGAGACAATAATGTTAGTTTGATTCATTGAATTCATTAGAAGTGACATAAAATGATGAAAATAACAATTTACCTTGACACCGCTGGTATGTGAGACAGCTGATCGGGTGAATGCACCGCAGGTCGGCATTGATTTGAAACATGAACCGATGATATTACACAAGCCCAATGTAATCATCTCTTGCGATGCATCGACAGCTAATCCAGTTGCTGTAAAAGAAATAAACAAATGACATGAACAAATAGTTTGCAACCTTTGACCATTCTGTGGTTAAAAAAATAGCTCACTGAATGCTTTCGCAATAGCAACGTTTGCTAGAACCGCAACCAAAGGCACTACAATGATACCGGATCCGAGCTCAGCACACACTTGTGTAAATGACAATGTGCTATTGTGGTAGGTGACTTGGAATGGCGGCAACGAAATCTCGGGCATTCCCGGCTCAACTTTGCCTGTTAAATGACAAACGATTCAATTCCAATTTATTTATTTTTTTGCATTACATTTTTTAATGAAAAGTACACGCTAAATGCGAACATCAGAACAGTAGCAATTATATTGTAATTTAAATTATTATTGTTCATTCTGGCTTTTGTTTGTGACTTAAATATTTTACCTGACAATTTGAATGGCGGCATGTGACTAGCTGTCCAATTGTAACCGATCGCTGATGTTATCAATACAATGAGCGCATTTCTCGAGATACTGATGTACCAAAGGCTCTTTTTGATGATTTGCCCGCGTCGTGTGTCATCATTTACTTTGATCTCTTTGATTTGCTGTAACAATATGAAATGGAGGTTAGTTGTTTTGTTCAAAAAATGTCATGTCGGATGTAGTTCAAGTCCATATCATTGGTTAGAAAATAATTCCGAATCCAAAAGATGTAACTCAAACAAGCGAAAACACTCAAAATGTTTGGAATACAGTCAAAAATCAAACACAAGAAATAAATGCAATCCTTACACGAAGTGCAAGCAAAAAGATGCAACATCCGACTGCCAAAACTGCATCCCAAAAAACGCTATCTTCCAATCGTTCAATCAGCATAATAACGGAGTCAGCAAAACCTTTTGACGAATACTCGATTCCAAGTAGATTTTTCAACTGTGCACCAATTATAATTAGCGATGTGGCCGATGTAAATGCACTGGTAACAGGAACTGATATGAAATCAACAATAAAACCTAAAAAACAAACAAGCAATGTAATTCAAAGTGTTAAAAATATACAAAGTGGAAGTAGTAGTATGTGGGGGGAATGTCATTGGTATCTCAATTTCGTATGCGGCAACAAAAACAAAAACATCAACACCCAGTCTAATCACAATTCGCATGTCTAATTTCTACTAATTAAATTATCATTTACGTTGATTAATTCGAATGAATAAGCGTAAAAAAAAACAAGTCAATGCAGATAAATGTCAACACCGTGCGCACAACAGAAACAAAAGGTGTTGCAATGAAATTTATTTTGCATCAGAATCCGTGCCGTGTGTTAGGTAAACCGACTGAATGAAAATGAAAATTGGAATTCTGAGCGTTGTTGAATGGCGGCGTACAAACGAGACTTACCTAATTTTAACACACCCATAGCGAGTTCCACACAGCCGGCTAAAAATGCCAAAATAATTGCGAATTCTGGCGGCTTGTCAACTGTATATTGCAACGTTAACTGGAATAGAAACAACGCAATAAGTAATTGTTGAAGTCTTGAAACTAAAAATAGAAATCAAGATCAAAAATAGACGAAGAAAATGGAATAAAATGCTTACAAGTGCCATGAGACTTGTCGGCCCGATTGAAACTTCTTTTATTGTACCGAAGAAGACATAAATAAATGCCCCTGAAACGAAACAATAGTAATCAAAGTGTTTTCATTATTATTTGATTGGAAACACTTTTCAATCGCTTTATTTTTGCATTTCGTGTGCAAATCGTGAGTCTCTATCGTTTATTATTATTATACCTATGAACGCTGCATATAGACCATAGTGACTGGGTAGTTGTGCGAGTGCGGCATATGCAATCGCTTGGGGTATCATCGTCAAACCGAGAGTGACACCCGCAATCAAATCGGAGACGGCGGTGATTTGATCATAATTTCCAATCCACGATAAAATATAAATGCGCCGACACACCAGCTCTTTCCAGTTTTTGTGTATTTTGAGTTGGATCGGTTTCGGCGGTGGTTTCTCATTATTCGGCTCACGTATACGTAACTTTACCGATTCAGAGTCCGTTTCATCACCCACTGCAAATAAAATAAAAAGCAGAAAAAAAACATTACGGTTATTTTTATTCGAAAAAAATATGTAAGATTGCAAACTATTAAACAAGACAATATCAATGAACAAAACAAAAACAGTCAAAGTGAATGATTTAATCGTTATGTGCGCACATTTATTGCAAATTTCTTATGGCAATTCACCCTTAAGCTCATAATTTATATGGAATTTAAGTGATTACATCAAAGCAGTGCATAGCGGCAGATTGTCTGCCACGTCACTTGACGTATTCACCATACTATGAACGACGGAGAAGAAGAAAAAAGGCAACAGCTCCGTGTTTTCGATTTTCTTGATACAAATTGCATCTTGCAAATAATTGAGGAGAAACAAGCCCACAAAATGAGTTCACACACACACGCGCGCGCACATATCGCAATGTGAGCAATTATGGGATTTTTCATCAACTTATAAACCAGTTTATGTGCGAATGAACAAGTTTTCAATTTCGTTTAATTACAAGCCCCTTTCTTGTGCCGAACAGGCACATTTAAGCGATATGATCATCTGAAATCCACTAATTATGCTTGGCTAAGATCGCTGATTTATGTCGAAAAATCCAATTGAAGTTTCACTTTACCACCAGGTAGGGAATGTTTTTTTCCCGCTTCCCATCGACAATAACGGCAGCGATGACGACAAGAGAAAATCTCCAATTATGGGGCATTAGTCGTTTAACGCTCACTTGCCGTATTCAATACTTCACTCATTGATTTATTAGCGACTTTTTATGAAAATTTTGATTCAATTGATCTTCTCTCTAAATAGCGCACGATTTCGGCGTAAGCGATTGCAAGTCGAGAAGAATCGTATCGATTCAATCACTTGAAAACAATCATCAACGAACGTGGATATGATGAATATCCGAGACGAGAGATGCTCTTTGTTCGACTTAAATGAATTTTAGAAAGTACAAATCTCATCGATCATCAACCCATTTCATTAGCACTAAACTTGTTTAAATGGCGGTTAAATGGGTATATTTCGGTATTCACAAAAAAAAAAAACCGCGATCACACTCGAGTGTAATGAACTAATCGAACTGTATTTCTTTGTCTGTTTATGAAATCTCACAACGAATTTATCACATCCAGACATCAATTATCGTTATTTTTGGATCAAAAATAAAAATAAATTTTATTGCTTTACCGACACTCGTGCATAATTTAAGTGCTGCTTGATAATGCACACGATCAATATTAATACGTTCGTATACATTTCAATATATAATTACAAATAATTAGCAAATACTGAGAAAAATCTCAATGAATTCTGCTATAAAATATGCAGTTGCGTGTTTTTGATTTGGCCCTCTTTTGTTATAGATTTTTTGCGATTCTAACTATGAAACTTGAATGGAATAAAACAAAATGAGGCGTTCCGTCTTTAGAGCGAACTTTTTTTCAGAAGATAATTATTCCGAAAAATTAAGAAAAAAAATTTAATGAATTTAATTTAAAAAAAAAAACAATCATTTTATATTGGAAAATACTCAAACAAATTCTGTCATCAAATACTATGACTGTATCAGGCGCTAGATCTCAAGATGATGTATGCAAATTGTATACAATTCAAATAACAAATCCATAGCACACGACCAAAATATTCTTGTCACAATCAACGGTCGCACAAAATTTGCACAATTAATGAATTTAACGATAAAAAAAACACCACATAAACTGCTGAATGAATAGACGGTGTCATGTTTTTTATATTTCAGTGGTTTTTCGATTTTCGACGCCTAATCGTTTTATTGACCGCCCATAAAAGCTGCCACTCAATGTGGCTGCATCATCGCTATCGAATTTTTAAGTGTTATAGCTTCTAATCGCAACCCACATCTGATTCTAATTCCCACATCTTATCCAAAATTTTGATTCCAAATAAGGGGTTGTTCCTTCCTTATCGACGCCGGAGCTGTCATAATTTATGTAAAAAAAATTCTATTGTTCAAATGTCTCAAGATGGCAATTCTCCGTTGGAGTGAATCCGAAAAGGATTGATTAATTTAATCAATAAGGTGAGATTGGCATTTAAAGTTGATATAAATAGCATGTTACAGCTACATATAGGCATTATGATGTGTTATTTTTTTTTTTAAGTGCGCAAAAATCACGCATTCAAAGTCATATTAGCACAAAATCCTGTTTTGTTCAAAATTCATTCAATGTTCGACTCAAAGCCGCAGCAGCATCGATGAAGGTACAAACAAGATGGCTTGAATGATGCACACGTGCGACTTCGATTTTTGACAAACAAAACTTCGTGTTTCATCGCAGATTGGCAGCGGGCAAAAAACATTTTTTGTGCGAATAAAAAGTGTGTGCAAATCCCTTAAGACAATGACTTCTGCGAAATTCAATTGTATCATGCACTGGCGCGAGCGGATTTCAAATGTTAAATTGATGGAAGTAGCCTTCAACACGGCAAGAATTTTTCGCATTGGCTTAATAATTACGCGGCATTTTTTCTTGCGGCAAATCGACAGCTTTATTAAATGGTGTCTTTTGTGTGTGTGTATGATTGGCCAAAGTGTTTTGTTGTTTTAGATTCAAAGGGATCATTTATTTACGCCGTTTTTTCTTCTCTTGCAGTGAATGTTCAATTTAACATTGTTTGATACAAAGTATGCTAAATTTTAGCTCCTTGAATGTTTAACCGTTGAAACGAAACGAAATGAAATAAACCACACGCAAACCTTCTCTCTTCTTTCCGCTCTTCGTTTATTTATCTGATCTCTGAAAATCCGGCGATCATTCGGATTATAATTAAGAAATGTGCACGAGTACGAATAGCCACATATTTTTTTTTTTTTTGCTCGACCGGTGCATTTGAGTTGATAATAATGATCCAACGTGCTAAAACATTTCCAAAGCAAATTAGGCCAGCAACTTTTTTTTTCTCTCCTAATTAATTAGGCATCGTCATTGATTGACGGTTCAAATAGCAAAACCATGCGAACCGAAACGAGTACAAAACACCGATCTCGCACAACACAAACACCATACGAAAAGTGCACTCCGTTTATGTGCCTTATGAATGTTTTAATATCAATTAAAAACAACAGAGAGAAGAGAAATAAAAAAACGCGACCAATACAATCATAGCGATTGTGTTAAACTAAACCAGCCGAAGACCTTAGATCTTGCATGTAAATTGATTTTCATGGCTTTTTATGTGGCTCTTTCAAACACCCAATACACACTTTGCGTGCATGAAAAAGAGAGCAAAACAGATGTAAAAAAAAAAAGAAAATTAAAACCATAGAATGATCGTGTGTCTCGAGATTCGAAAAAAACAACAGCAGCAACAAAATCAGAGATAGAGAGAAAAAAAAATCAGGCGATTGTTTTCAGTCAGCTGTGCAAAGTTGTTGTATTTCACAGTATACAGTATAGACAAGCATAGATAGTCTGAACAACAAAGACTAGTTGAACAAAATCGATAATTTTTAATAAAACAACAAAACTGCGACAAACTCAAAGCGTCGCACTGACTGACTGACTGCACGCAAAAGGTAACTTGGCGATCAACGTTACTGATACACTAATTTCAATGAACAAGACAGAGACACCGACGGAGGGAGGGAGAGAGCGAACTGGAAAAAAAGGTACAACATCATATTGAAATTTCATGGTTCAGTTGCGTCGAGTCACCTTAGTCTAGCTAAATAAACGATATGTCAGTCATTAGGCGTGCAGCCACATAAACTGGCCATTTTCCGATCCGATTAATTATGTTATTAATTAAGACAAGCGACTCAACTTCAAAGACAAGTTGCTGGTTTTTTTTTTCTTCATTGCATCGGCTAGAACTGGCGACTGGGTGAAAGAGAACGGACCAAAAAAGAAAACAAAAGTCGAAATGTCTGCACAACAACCGAACTACAAACGATCGCTCATTAGTCAGAGTGCGTCTCGATTTTATTGTTTTTTTTTTCCCAACGATCGTGCCGATCACTTTGACTTTCAAATCTTTTAAACAGAAAAAAGCGATTCTAATCGCAATTTAAATAATGTCCCAGCTACTCCGTGCACTTTAACGCCTGCGATACTCGGCGGGGAATCCTACCTGCACAATCTCATTATTATGCAAATGTTGTGCTTAAAATACCTAGAAAACACGGCTCAACAAGTAAATCAATTGTATCGCTCGGAGAGTTTGTCTCTTTTGTCATTCAAATAAATCACAATACGTGGCGTTGAACGCAACAAATTATGAAAGAAATTTGTTGAACATTCGCATTTTGTGTTAGTTGAATTGTGTTCTGAAAATCGCAATTCTGCGAACTGAGCGCGATGTCAACATCAACAACAATGGTAGAATCGAATGTTAACACACCAAAGAAAAAAAAACTTAACTCAGCATGTGTAATGCACACATCAATCCGGTTTTTGGTACAATAAATAAAACACACATAATTTTTTTTTTGATCACGTGAAATAATGATTCGTTCTTCGTTCAATCGAGAGAGAGAGAGAGAGAGAGAGAGAGCGGTATGATCTTTTTTCGCTGCCTCTCATCGCTTTTGGCCATATATCATTTGGAATTCTCGTCGCATTCATGACACACCACAAAGCTACGATCACTCAACCGTACGCATATGAAATTGTGAACATACTTGAAAAGCAATATGAAATAAACGGCAATACAAAGTGCTTATTAATAACATCATGGAACATTTTTGGCGTGCTCATCAAGCGCGTTTTGCGGTATATAGCACACAAAATCGCCAATATTGATGATGGGTTATCGTTTGTGTCGGACTCGATAGTCTGAACATATACATTTTCTCAATGCAACAATTTATTCACATAATCGGTGATTCATGTGTATCGATCGGTTTTTCGGTAGTCATTAGATAAATTTTGTGAACTTTTCGTGAATCGCATTAAAAAGTTTGCTATCACCGACTCAAGCGCATCATTTATTTGCATATATACCATCATTGCTTAATGAAGCTCGCTCATATTTTTATGAAATTTTTACGAAGTGTTTTTTCTCTCTCTCTCTCTCTCTCTCTCTCTCTCTCTCTCAATCTATGCACCTACCATGGGGTTATTTATCATCAATCAATTTTTTCGGCAGCATTGATTAGAATTGCAAACGGAGTTGTGAGGATATTTTTTTGTTGGTCTGTATCTATGCACGCGTACGTGCAAATGATGGTGTGGATTTTTGCATAAGACTGGAGCCATTTATCAAATCGACCCGATCGAAAGGTATTAATATGTACTACGTAATAACTTCACCTGATAGTAAAGATTCGTTTTCATCACAGGCGTCATTGAGTAACGCTTTTGGCTCTGTGTTTCTCTCTCCCTCTCTCTCTCTCTCTTTCTGTGTGTGTGTGTGTGTTTTTTTTCCCCTCGAAACCGAATATTTCTCGTTTGTACCAGTTTGAAATTTTCTCTTATTGGCTTTTCCATTGCGCAAAAAATAAAATGTTAGACTGTTCACAGGTCGGTGATCTCCCTTTTTATTCGATCGTTTTTTTTATTTCATCTGCTACACTTATGTTGAATGTTTTTAGATGAGGTGATATGTAAAAATTGGCACACAAAAAAATAGCAATAAAATTAAGTTTTACGATGAAAAGATTGTCTTCAATAAATAATACGAAGGAAGTATCGAATATGATCATCGGCATCGATAAATTTCAGTTTATTCAGCTGAATGCGGCTGAATGCCAAATCATATTCAATCAAAACGTACTACAAATGTGTAATTTCATTAAAATTTATGAATTTCTCTGATCGAGAACCGCCCGTTTTCATTGACAACAACACTTGAGCAAATAAATTGCGACATATATTTTTTTGCGAAGGAAAAACAAACCGAATTGGTGATTTAGTTCACGCATTTTTCGATGAGAAAAAAAAATTGGTGTTTTATAAATGAAAACAAAAAAACCGAAGCCGACATTCCAATCTGATTATAGGTTTGGTGTCTGTGCCCGTTGCATCCTTTATTTATTTCTTGGAGAAACCATTCGAAATTCCACCGAAAAAAAGCACGGCGATAACGAAGGCATGTGTGTGTGTGTGTGTGTGCTACTGAAACCGTGATTGAAGCTTCAAAACGAAAATGAAGAAATCATTCAGCGTGCTAAAAATATCGCATCACGTCGAAAGAAAACGTTATGATTGGCAACACGTTTGAATGTAATTAATTTTATTTATTTCTCTTTTTTTTTTCGTTTATTGTTTCCGTATATGAGTTTGTAAAACTCTCACTGCTATATGTCATATTTAGTAGCACAGCGTCAATAATATCGTGTTTGTCGCATGTTGGATATATACGTATAATTTGTCGGTGTGGAAACAATGAGTCGGAATCGTTAAATATTCATCGACACATTCCGGAACATAATTTTCGTAGTAGTAAAGCTTCATAAACAACACTTGATAAATGAATTTCAATGAGTCAAATATAATAATCGCATATACAAATTTCCATATGAATTGGTGATGGCAATGAAAATGCTTCGGAAGCAAAGACAGAAAAGAAACAAGCAGCAACGACGACGTAACGCGAGTAACTCAAAAAAAAAAGAATCAAATCGTTTGAATCACACACACAGAGCCATATAAGCACCGAGAATTGTACGCGGTCTTTAAGTTTAATATAGATTGTGTAACGTTCTTAAACAAAAGTAGAAATATAAATAATTTTTGTGTGTACCGAATGCATGATTTTTCTGGCCTCGTTTTGCAACATTTTCAAGTTCAAGCGTAACGCCAACGTTATTATCCATAATATGAGTTGTTGTCAGCGATCAGCGGCGGCCAAAGAGCAACCATACAAAGAATTTGCTTCTCTGTTCTTTTCCGTTGTTGTTGTCGTCGTAGTTTTCGTTGCGGTTGCAATGATGCAATGGAATTGCTTGTTTACCGTTATCAAGCAACAAAATAACGTATATTCACCGATTCAATTTTACCGATGTTCACTTCTTTTTACAACCTAACTTTTGTGTATCACTCCAATTTTATTTGTTGTAAATTTTCAGTCAATTTAGCGATACAATCAGTTTTTCCATTTATATAAATTCAATATGCATAAATTTCGGAACACCAACAAAAAAAGAGGCAATCACATTGTGAACACACACACACGCATGAAACAGGTGAAATTTACGTTTGGAACACAATCAACATAATCGAACGCGAAACCAAAAAAAAAAAAAACCGATAAAGTTAACGTTTCTCCAAATAAGTGTATAGTTTTTTTTTTTGATATTCCAGTCAGCGAATTGTAGCTCAATGGTACAGTGAATCGGGAACATTGAATTTGAAACACAACAACAGAAAAATGGTCTCAATGAATAACAGTTTGTGTACAATAAAATGAATTCAACACACCAAGCACAAACAACAACAAAATTTATTAGCTTAACAAAATACCGTTCAAATCGATTGGATAAAAAAATTATTTGACTAAATCAATTAAATTATTTAGGTGAACGCATGTAAAATTTAATTAAATATTTCTTATTTCATTCTCTTTATCTCGTTTTTTTGCATCGAAAATTGAAGAAAAAAAATCGAACGAAACGGAACATCAACGATAAAATTTTAAAATGATAAATAAAAAAAAACAAAAACGACACTCGCGAACGAATGAATGTGTTGTATATGTGGTGTTTTGTTCGGAACAGAGCTTCGGCTCGTTGTGAGGTGTTTTATACTACGTTCGTTCAGTCACTAGCCCGATTTAAGAACTGACCATTTGTAGACATAAACTGACAAATATAAAAATTAAAAGTGATCGTTTTCGGAAATTTTGATCACTCGTCGTCGTCGTCGTTGTTGTGTTGTACGTATGACGTTACCGTCGAAAAAAAATCGGTACGATGGTATGGGTGCGTCGGTGAAAGAGCGGCTATGCACAATGAAGCTTTTGCACCGTTTGTGAGAGATATTCGTAATTGGTTTTTCGTTGTTTCGGTTGTTGTTGTCGTACGATGTGTGCGCTTGTGTGCGTGTTATGTTCGCTCATCGTTCGCAACTCCGAATGCGTTCGCAACGTTCGCAGATTGCCGATTGTTTTGGAATTGTGAATGTGTACGTGTTGTCAGTTGTGCGCTTGCCATAGCACAACGCAACAAATCACATCGAATACGATTGATGAACTGAGAAAAAGATTATTATGAATATTTCTCTAGTCGATGTACGATCGTGTGTCTATGTGAGATGTCGTTCTCTCACACTCTCCATCTGTGTGTATGTCGATCGCAGCGCACAGAACGCAGCATGTCGATTGATTTATCCGAAAAGCGTTAAATACGACAATGTTTGTTGGTGTTCGTTTGCAATAGAACGAAAAGAAAGCCGCATGAGAAACAAGTGCATCGAAAGAGTAAACACCAACCGATTGAAAGAAGAAAGAAAGAAAAAGAGCGAGGGTTCGTATGTATGCAAAATATTGAACTTGAGCTGTGCTTGATTTAGTTATTGGCAACAAAACGTTTGACTAACGAAACACTGCTTAACCATGATCTATCTCCAACAATAAAAGAGTTAACCGAGTTATCTGTACATGTCGTTGCGGCGGCTTTTCAATTTGCATAATCAAGTGCAATACAATAAAAATCAAGTGCTTATGTAAAGAAAAACATTTTTTTTTTCTCCAATATGACCGAATTCAATCCTCCATTTGAGATTCATTTGTGCGTTGACGTCGACGGCTGTGTGTCATTGTGCGAGTCAGCCAGTGAGCATATGGACCGTCATTTAGTTGGCACCAATAACCACTTGATAAACAAACATCCAACAATAAAACGCTACTGACGATGAATGAAGAAAAAAAACACAATTTTTATGGAAATTTTTCACGGTTTTATGTTTGGTTTCACTCTCGGTACTTTATATTTGTTGGTTTATTTTGTGCTTGTCATTTCGTTTCGGGGCTTTTTGTGATATGTTAGCAATTCTGGACATTCACGCTATTCGGAGATATTTATCACTTGATATAAAAATTCATGCTTTATTCACATTCATATTTACTGTTGTTATGTGCGTTTTTCCGATGCGACAAGCGAACGGGATAGAAACAGAAGCAGAAATAGGAAGAGAGGGAAAGAGAGAGAGAGAGAGAGAGAGCATTGTGTCGATGGATGCGTGAAGCAAACGAACTTAGATTTTGTGAAGGTTTAGTACGTGTACGTTACACCGTGTGTGCTTTTGTTTCTCTCTCGCATTTCATGATCGCTGATTTACTAAGTTGATCTTTGTTTGTTGTGTTCCTTGTGTATTTGACAAAGTGGTTGCTTTACATAAAGAAATCGACTGAAACTCGTTTGCTGCCGCACTTCCAATGACTTTGCATCTATTTACCTGTTCCATTTGATATGTTTCACGTTTGTCACGAGTTGAACGCATCGCAGTGTGTCGAGGCAGAGAGTCAATAGCAAGCACAAATGAACAATATAACGATTGAAGAAAGAAAGAAAGACACAAAACTGATTCTATGCGTTCATTTGTGCGGATCAAGTGAACGTAATAATTGGAACGTAACTAGTATTCGCAACAAGTTAATGCCATGCGAGATATTGTTTCGGTCGACATTCAAAACAACGCGCCACAAACAACACACAAACAAACAAACATAGACAAACGCACTAACGTTCGCACGCACATCCAACTAAACGATCTCACCTTTCCATCCGTCCAACCTATTTCATGTTTACATATGATTTTAAAAATATGCATGTGAGCGAAATATGTTTATATTTCTCACTAGCGAGTACGAACGGGAAAAACCCAACGTCGATTGACAGCATAAAAATAGATGCCATTCGCAAAAGTGATAATTAGAATCAAAGGTATTTCTTTTTTTATTGTTGTTGTTGTTGTCAATCTTTTCGTGTGTTGTTGTCACAATACAATGTTATTCTTTTTACGTCATTCCACGCATTCACGTTTCCATGATTGTGCTGATTATTTTGCCTTTCAACTTTCAAACGAGAATTATTATTACAAAACGAAGCCGCCCCAATGCATGTCTTGTCGCATATATGCTATTTATTCTAGGAAAAGAAGGTGATATTCATTTGAGATTATGCATTCGGGCATATTCTTAATACATATTAAAATAGTCGTGATTTGTTTATACTTTGCACATGATTGGCGTTTGATTTATTAATCTATGTGTTGCATAAATTATAAGTGTTGCTATGGTTTGCCAGGTGCAACAAATGCATTATTCAAATTTGTTCAAAATGACTGTGAAAAAAAAAATTCTTAACCAATCAAATGACAATGCATAAAGCAGACAGACATGTTGTCACCACACGATCCAAGCAACACATTTATCAGCATAGCGATAAAATTACACGAAACATGTTTACGTTTGGTTTGTTTGATGGAATGTACTTTTCCGAAAAAATGATCATAACAACTCTGTCCAACATCAGATTACGCACATTATCAGATATTTTTGTATGGAAATTTTTCAACATAATTCTCGTTAAAAATTCCACAAGAAATCGCTTCTGTATTCAGTTGGCGCTAGTTTATCCCATTTATTTGCTAGCAGCCAATCTATCCACTTCAATTTGAATCAATATCAATTTTGTTTGATTGATGTTTCACTAAATGGAAATATATTTCTTTTAAATTGCAATGTAATATGACAAGTGACGCGTTACCTGTTTAACAGGATAATCTTAGACGTAAACTCAATTGAAATGCAAAGTGACAAACTGAAGTGACTATTCAACGAAGAAAAAAGAAACAATCAATGGAATGTGTCTGGATCGGCGGTGAAAGACGTAATAATTTAAAATATTTCAATAATTTGTGGATAAATAGAAATAAATTTTAATAGCGTCGTTGCAATAGGTGGGTTGTGAACAATCGAATACTCTGATTCATACGAGAGTTCCTCCATTGAACAATAAAAACCGCAATTCGAGACGCGATTTTTTCCTCGTTGTGGTGCTAATCAGAATGTTATTGCTGTTAAATTCACACATTTCGCTATTTTAATATGTCCAATAATTCCGAATGGAAACGTTCTAAAATGTTTGTCACATATTCCTAGAACACAGCAATCTATTGAAAAAACAGTAAATATTAGGTAAACAAATAAATCTGACGCCGGCTATTTCGTTGAAGCCATTGAATCTCATTAGCACTGATATTCGTTTTGGTCTTCGTACGCTTTTTTTTCTATCGCATTCGTGCGTAAAAGATACAGTTTTTTCTAGCATACTATTGACTTGAATTTCTATTTAGTATTTATTTTGGCTACCAGATTTTGTTCAGTGTCAATTTTGACTGTTTCGCCAATTCGGAAGCGAAATAACAACTGCAATGATTCCTCTTTTCATTTTTCTGTATTGTTATTTTAGAAGTACATAAAAATAATATCAGGTCAGAACCTGTTAAAATGTATACCAGTTATTGTTTTTAGTGCTGTTTATCAAAACCTGAACATCAATTTGGATTGAATCTCTCAATGATGCATCGAGCGAGAAATTTCCGGTGCTCGCCAAAATGCGCGAGCTTGTTTTCGATTTGCATGATAAAAATTCCAATTTATTCGGTTTCTCCGTGTATTTCACATCTCATTCTAGCAAATACCGTACACAAGTGAGAAATGAATTTTACTATATACAGACGCTCTCCATTGCATACAGCTAGCTACGCTCGAATCTCTCGTCATTATTATTAAATTAGCGGCAAGTTGCAAACACATGTTCCGCAAACCTTGGTTAAATATTCACGATTTAATTGAAATATTCGCGCGCTCGCGCGATTCTACCCATTTGATGTGAAATTTCATATTTAAATACAAAAAAAAGCTGTTTTGCATTGTTCTTTATACGTTTCTCGCTATTATCCTTATATCATAGTGTTTTGTTTTGTTTATTTTTTTTTTCGCGAAGAATGATTAATGCACGACAATCGAAATAGATTTCTGAAATTAGTCAACATTTAGAAGTAAGCGAAGAAAAAAACGGTTTGAATTAATAACTGAATGTTACAAAATGTATTAATAGCATTGTTCCGTTTGAATAATTACATTTCTAATTGGCGCCGTATAGCAAATAAACGATTCACGAATAGTTCCGATTATGAGGTCGATGAAGTATTGCATTCAATTGACACATTGTTCCTCAATTTACACCGTATTTTTTTTTTCGTTGTTGTTTTTGGCATGATTTCGATTCATTTTTTTTTGTTAGAAGAATATGTGTAAAATTGACATGAGTCATGCTACGTGCGCACATTTTACTTGGACAATTCGCAGTATTGGAAGTACTGGCCGGATTGGTTGACTCAAAATGTTAGCCACGTTGGCAATAATAAAAACCTGATGATTAATTCTTGTTAATTTGGTAGTTTTCAATCAAGAAAAAAAAAACTGGAGACAACAATAAAAAAACAAATGAAAACAAAATTTCAATACAAAAGGCATATTATTCAGAGTGAATATGAACTTTCATTAACGATCGCTAATTCATGTCGATATTATTTTTTGTGTTTGGTTTGAATAATGCGCAATATTGTTCAGAAACTATATTATCAACAAGTGTTTTCGAGTGGATGTTGTTTTTCATCATCTTCTTTTTCGAACCATCTCATTTTTGATGGGCTAATTATTAATGAATGCTCGCACAAAATAGCGACGGTGGCCATTATTGTGAGACATCAACATAAATTATCGAATAATACATCGTCAACAATTTGTGTGTTGCCATCTCAATGATATTTTTTTTCTCTTCCATTTATTCAAGCTCAGGGTCATACAATTGATCTGTTCAACACCGTACAATTATAATTGCTGGTGTATCAACCGGTAAATCCGATTAAATAGCATCCATTGTAAACTCTCGGTGGCTTTTTCATATAAATAAATCAAATAAAAGGAGGTTTTTATCAGCGAACAATGGCCAAATTGCCCGCGCACATTCCCGTGTTATTCGTTGTGTGTTGGATTTTTATTCAGCTGATTCGTGTATATAAATGTATCCGCAATTTAAATAGATCACAGGAAAGCACGAGATCAGGCACACACACACATACACAGAGACAAGTGTAGTGAGGGCACTTTCCAGTTTCAATGGCGGCGAACCGAATCACTTAAATCACAATGAGTTTTTACGCGTTTTTGTGCACTGTTGATTCTATATTCATGACTCGACTCGATTTGCTCATCTTTTTATACCTATACATTTCTGTTTTTTCTGTTCGAGATAGTGAGAAAGATTTTGTTCCTAGTTGTTGCTTATTGGATGGAATAAAATTCATTGCATACGTTATGAGTGGACGTAATTGTAAATATGGTTGAGTGAACAATGAAATGCTCGTATCCTCTTCACGTGATACTTCGTGGCCAATTGATTTCGTGCTAAATGACCGCAAATAGATGGACGCACGCGCGAGAGAGAGCGCTTTTCGCCTCGCTTAATTTTTTCAAATTGCTTTATTTATGAACACCAAGAATGGAATTTGTACGCCAATTTTTTGTCAAATTCGTTGTTTCCAAAAAATTGTATGTGTGTGTGGTAAGAACAAGGCTACATGTCGTGCTGCCTAACGGCAACAAGTCTGACGACAATCAGTTCATCTGTTGGATTTTTCTGTCTAAAATTAGTAGTATAGATATGTACATTTCGTCCAACCATAGGTAACAGAGGGGGGTTCATTTTCATGTAAAATGCTCCGCAGGGACAAGAGGGAAGAAAAAACCATAAATATCACGCATGCGCGAGGGGATAAGAAATTTCCCGACATTTACATGGAAAATGAATTTTCTCCACCTATAATTGAATGAAATATACATATCTATTTATGTAAATGAGCAAAAACAAAGCATGTTGAACTGAAAAAATTGTCACATACACAAAATCAAAATAAGAACAATTTGATTATTTTCGAATAAAATTTAATTCAAATGTTTTGATAATATTGGGATTTTATTATGTGATCAATCAACAATGCATTGAAAAAAAATTCACTCAACAAAAAAACAAATAGAGAAGAAAAATTGAATCGATGAGTCAAACAAAATCTGAAAAGTGAAACTAAAAATGAATCCAGAACAAATAATTGAGGCAACATTAGAGAGGAATTAAGAGATGACAGTAAATTTCGTCAACAGCATATTCAATCTTGGAGACATGCGGCCAGATAGATTTGAGACGCTGCTTCATAGCTTCATAGGCAATCTGAGGCCACATTTGCATACTTTCATCTCGACGGCAGCTGTTCGATGGGATCACACCCGTTATTGACGATATATTGCAAGAAATGCAGGAAAGTGAAACCGAAATTGAAACCGACAGTGAATAAAAAAAATCGGCTTGATTGCGAAAAATGTATTCTATTCTATTGTTTATGGAATTGCTCCAGCTGGGGCTATGTTTGATCAATTTGAATACACTTCATATTTGAGAAGGATCAATTTCGGGTCCAACTGGTAGTTTTTTTAATTTGGTTTGTTCATTAAATTGGAACAAGTTAACGGCAAAACAAAGAATTAATTACTTGTATCCTCAGTTTCCATTTTGCTTGAATCCTCAGTTTCCATTTTGCTTGAACCCTCAGTTTCCATTATCCTGCTTCCCAAAAAATATTCCAATCGTATTAACTTGAGTAGCGTTCGCTAATTCTTATAACTTGTTTTCGCGCCACTGATACAAAACCAACTGAACATTTTCCCCGAAAAAAGCCACTGGATTTATTATTGATTAAGCTCACTTTTAAGTGGTCGTCGAGCAACTGTCTGGATATTGGTTCAGTTATTAATTAAAGTACCGCGCGTATCACTTTGTTTCTTGAATCTTCAAATAAGCGGATGATAATTGGTGCGTCTTATCTCATTTTGAGCGCCGTTTATTTTGCAAACAAGAAAAATGAAATCTATTTTGGCGAGTGAACGAGAGCGAAAACGAGAGAGATAGAAAAGCAACGAGAATGACCTAGAGTGAACGAGATAGATAGAGAGAGAGAGAGAGAGAGAGAGAGAGAGAGAGAGAGAGAGAGAGA